TGGGCTGGCGAGATAGCTCAGCAGACTAAGCACCTGCTTAGGCAAGGCAAGCTCAGAGACCAGGGTTCAATCCCAGCACTGCATGTAGCGTGGGCAGCACCCCTGGGGACACTAAACTACCAGACTGGGCATTACAGGCTTGTAATCCCAGCACTGGGGAGGCTGAAAACAGGAGGATCACTGTGAGTCTGGGCTGCATAGTAAGACCTTGTACCAAATACATTTTTTTAAAAAAGAAAACCAATGTAACCATTATGTGTTGCAGGCCTGTAATAAATTTAAATATAAATTTCAAGCAGGGTGTGGTGACACATATAATCCCAATACTTGGTTTTGTACTTTTTTTTTTTTTTCTTTTTTTGCGGAACCAGGGATTGAACTCAGGCCCTTGGGCTTGCCAGGCAAGCACTTACCTTACTGAGCCATCTCCCTGGCCCCAATCCCAATACTTGAAAGGCTGAGGCAGGAGGATCATTGCAAGTTCAAGGTCAGCCAAGAATACAAAGTGAGTTCAAGAGCAGCCTGAACTGCATAGTGAGACCCTGTCTCAAAACAACATACATACATGCATACATACATACATATATGCATGCATTTCAATATAAATCGAGTTGTAGGCATCTTTGATTTGGAATGAAGGTATTAAAAGATTCTGACCCTTTGCAACTAACTAATGAAAAATTTTCTCCAAAATATATTTTACTTAATATTGCACATTTGAAATAAGGTTTGTACTAAGGAAACATCTTAAATTTTCATAAAGTTCAAGCTTTGTAAATCAGTTTCAGAAAAGCAAATATATTTTGAGTATTAGCATAGAAAGCGCTTTTGGTTTTATTGATTTGAACATTGATACATAAAGTTTTGGCTTTTGTGCTTTTTGGCATTCATGACTAAAAATAGCATCACTTATGATATAGGTTTGGTTCTGTTTTATTCTCTTTTGAAAGGCCTCTTAGCTATGCTGGCTTTGAACTCAAGATCTTCAAGTCTCAATTCTCTAAGTGCTAGGATTGTAATGGCTGCCATGCCTAGCTAAGCGTGGTATTTTTCAAGATAGTATAGTATCCCTAAGTAGAACAAATGTGGATAATAAAATGTCCATACTTAGAATCAGAACAAAGCAGTCAGGCTCAGGTTGCTGTGGTTCGATCCCTACAACTCAAGCCAGCCAAACCTGCCCTAAAGGCATTTGGAAAAAAAAAAATTCCTTTGTACTTAGAATCAGTGGATGTTATAATTTGATAATAGTGATGATTGCACATACCATCTCATGTCACTCCACATTTTAAAATTTTAATACCTGAGCATAAATTCACATTAAATTTTGTGCTTAGCCTGCTGTCCCTTCTGAATTCGTTCTTTTGAAGATGTACATGAATATATAACTTTTCCTCTAGTTATTACCAATATCCTAGAATTTTTCCCACTAAATATATATTGGTCTCTTTTATTTTCTGGTACCATAATTAGAAAATGAAATGTTTGTGCACGTGTGTTTCAGTTCTGGTTAAATGTACATAACATAAACTTTGCCATCTTGCAGTTTTTAAAATAAAGGTTCATGATATTATGTCTGCATTGTTATGCAGCCATCATCGCTATGCCTGACCAGATCTCTGTGACCCATTAAACAATAATACTTTTCTTTGGTTTTTTGAGACAGGGTCTTGCTATTGTAGTTCAGGCTGGTCTTGAACTCACTGTGTATTCCAGGCTAGCCTGGAACTTTTTTTTTTTTTTAATTTATTTATTT